CTTATACCATCAGATAGCGCAAGAAATTCTCTACAGGATGTGCTACTGAGAAGCAAGGCAGAATGAGTTTTTAATCAGCAGTGAATGTACAAAAAATAGGTGCACAAAACGCTGAGAACTTTCCGGACAACCTAATACAAAAGATTCAAGGCTTCGTCTGTACTATTGAGAACATCTGTGCAGAGTACATGGAATTTATTTTTCATTTTTCCATGTTCAAAAATTGTCTCTCTGACAGCAAAAACAGCACAGCGCTATTGATATTTATATATTGGTGATTTATAATTTATTTGTATATTTTCGATGAAACAAATGATTGAGCATTCTTAGTTGAGGCTTAAGCAGGGGGTACGTTGGGTGGAGCACCAGTTCAAGGGCAACTAGTGCACAGACCGCGCCGTACGTTGAAGATCCTCAAAGACGAATTGATCTTATCTGCCTACGAGACAGAGTTTCTGTTGGCTCGTCCCAAAACTTTCTGTTTCAAGTGCGTTAAACCCTCCCCGCTTTTGTTCGGCGACATTGTTTTGGCAAGAAGTGAAGAAATTCTTGAAAAAAAAACTGTGTTAAAGTGGCTGGAAGTCGGGAAAACTCAAGAAGATGATAGGTAAGACAGGGAACGGGGAGGATTGTTCCACATGAGGAAGTTTACAGAAGAGGGTCGTATTTTGAAGGAATTCTCCCCAGCTAGTGTTCAAAGATGCCTTCCAGTGCGCTAGGGAGTGGTCCCCAGTGCTCCCACCAAGTACGTTTCCAACGAGGTCCCTTCTCTGAGCCACCGCGCTCACTGTTTGGGGAAGAAGCCTGAGCCTCATGGAGGCGTGGACAAAATTCTTGGAATCGTAAGGTGCGGAAACTCGCGGAAAAAGGCTGCGATATAATATGCTTATAGTTAGCGAGAACTTATGGCTGGGCAGCATACTAAAATGTTATGTTTGCTAATTTAGATGGAGAGCAGCTGTCGTCATCAGGTTCCTGCCAAGCATGTCCGTCTGGCTCTTACCGCACTCGAGGCGAGCATAAGCAGTGCGTACAGTGCCCGCCGGTATGTTTCCTTTACTCTATTCGACCGTAGATATTTACTTTGCAGCTCTTTTCTTGCAGGAACCACAACGGAATCTGTTGGAGCAACTCGGCGTGAACAGTGCAACACGCCGTTGTGTAAAGCCGGACAATTTTTGGTGAAGGAGACGTGAGTGAAACTGGATCTACTTTTTGTAGTTGAGGCTCAGTTTGCGGTCATACTAATCCCCGATTTCCAGGAAGCACTGCCAGTTCTGTCCTCGTGGCACATTCCAAGATGAAGAACAACATACCACATGTAAAATGTGCCCGACGATCACACTACAGCCGCTCAGGGTAACGTTCCAGCTCTCACAAAATCAATTGCTGAACTTATTGGATTTTCACTCGAGTTATAGGCGCGACGGCAGAATCGCAATGCTACTCCACGAACCAATGTGCTACCGGTGAGGATAACTGCTCGTGGCATGCTCACTGCATAGATCTCCCCGATGACAACGATGTGCCGTCGTTCCAGTGCAAATGCAAACCGGGTTTCCGTGGTAATGGCACGTATTGTCAAGGTAACGTCTTTCACTTTTACCAAAGGAATGATGTTTCAGAATGAGCACAATTGACTGGGTTTTGGAGATTTCTAGGCGCTGTTCAGCGACGGGGGCATTTTGCACTTTAACGACTTCCCATCAACTTGTCGACCCATCTAGACAGCCTGTTCTCGATTTGACAGGTTTTAGCATGATGGCTTGACGTGCTTGCTCCAGCTTCACAAGTTCACAGGTTACACCTGAGTGAGACTTGTGAACCGGAACTAATGAAGCAATGAAAGTGCAAAATGTCCTAAATGCCCCCCTCCCGCCGGCAAACTGCGCCGATTTCAGCTCTGACCTTAAATCCGAGAATTAGCCTGTCGGTTACAGGCACACTGCACGATCGCTAGTCTTAGATAGTGGAGTTCGAAAACGTACGGCAGTGTGCTAGCCGACTAACAGTTTGTTTGCTGCTGATGCAGGAGGTGTCAGGGAGGGGCTGGGTTTGGCACGGCGCCAACCCGATCTTCACCAGTTGTTGAAATGAGCAATCGACAACAACTGGTGAATCCTTGAAATGCCCCAGCATCTGTAGCGAACAAGACTTTACAAAGATCAGAACAAGTAGTCGAAAACACTCAAAATAAATCGTTTTGTGTTTCAATAATTACTGAACCAGCATACGAAGAGGTGATACGCGAAGAAACAATGTGCGCCCTGACAAGCCACCAGACAACGAGAGCGAAGTAGCACTCAGCCCGGCCAATACCAAAGACTTGATAGTTGAGCTCAACACCACAGTGTAACTGCACTCACAGTTGATATCGTTGCAGTCAGTCGAGCGGTGTCAAGAGGCATGGAATGAGCCCAACCTGGGGCGATATCACAACTGGTTGTCTTCTACGTGAATCATTCATTAACCGGTCACTACTGGTAGTAAAAGAGAGCAGGGGCAAGCCCATCTGACCCTTACCGACACCGCCCCCCCCCCTCCCCGACTGACTACTACGATATCAGCTATACATATGGGCGTCATCCGCCATAATTGGGTGTGGTCAGTAAAAATTCGTGAGCTCCACCATCCTTGTATGCACTTCGGGTGCTAAAAGTCTATGACAAGGGCTTTGCGACTGCGGACTCGCTTAATTTGAATACAGAAAAGACTCTAACTTAGGGGTTTGAAGAGTCACCTCTCAGTCGCGGCAAAATAGGGATTGCAAAGGGGTAGGAAGGG